GGTATCTCCTCATCCACCACCAGTGTGCAGCATCCACCTGGATGATGCGACGGCAGCCATAGTGCGCCAAAAAAAAATATGTTGCTATGGTATATGCTTTTAGAAACACAATGAAGCTAAAGCCACAAGTCTACTAATGTTTGTTTTTTTAAATTTCAGGACATAATCTCTAAAACTGTGAATTTTATGAAACATTTTCTAAGACCATGTCATGTGTGTTTTTAGAGAAGGCTAATAAAATTGATTTATGACCCCTGTAAGCTCTCCTGTAAGCTGTCTCCTCATGTCTGGCTTGGCAAACTGCCCCATTCATGATTCTATTGTTCTTACCCGACGACTCTTTCACACCTCTGCCAGGTATGAGACATTATCCTCATTATTCCTTTATCATTATTCTTTTGTTTTATTTAGCAATTAGTAGCCTTTATTCTGTCATTACAAGGTTTACCAAGCCACATCACTTCAATCCCAGTATACATTTACCGGCCTATTATCAAAAGTTTTTCTATAAAAATACAACAAAATATTTTCTTACGACCTTACGTGAATTATTGAGACAAAATGCATTAGGAAGAAGAGCTGCACCTGTTCTGCAGCTGCATTAGAGCTAACATTAGCATCAAGCTACATAAGACAATTTATGAGATTATTAGTACACTTTTACTCAAAACTCACTTTAAACCACCATCGAGTGTTTGTAATAACTTCCTTTTGCGATCTCATGTGGAATTTGGTCGTTTACTGTTGTAAAAATATGCTATTTATAGCCTTTTATATCGCTGCACAAATGACCATTTCTGATGTACACATTCATTATTGTTATGAAAACACCCCAAATCTCAATAAAATCACATACAAACCATATACCAGGGGTGGCGAACGTCGGTCCTGGAGAGCCGCAGCCCTGCAGAGTTTTGCTTCAACTCTAATCAAACACACCTGAACAAGCTAATCAAGGTCTGAAGGATTACTAGGAAGCTACAGGCCGGTGAGTTTTTATTAGGGTTGGAGCTGAGCTCTGCAGGACTGTGGCTCTCCATGCCATATACTACCGTAATCGTGTGTTTATTATTTGGATATTTCGTGGGTACAGAGGTTTCTGTGTTCGCTGTGGTCAGAAATCAACACGGAAGAGCGGCTAATTGTCATCAGATCACGTAAATCAGTGGAGAATGAATAGAAATGATGATTCTGTCTGAAGAAATATGAATTAAACATGAGTAAATATATCTATATATCTCCATGTATATGCATCTTTGGACTATAAGCACTTATTGACGCGGTTCAGTGAAGCTATGTGAACACAAATAAACCGCTGCAGACGTGACTGAATATGAATGCATGGTGAATTTCTATTCCAAAATATGACACATACGGATTTATTATTCTGCACTCCTGACATAAATTACTAAATTACTGTCACTGCAACAATATTTTATCAAAACAGTGGTCAAATATCGAAGCTAGAGTCTTTAATCTTTCTACTGATGCACAGTTTGTCCAGATCAAGTAAGAGTGTGATGTTTTAACATTCTGTTAAAGTGAAACAACAATAATCTGGGGCCTTCGCCGATCTTTGACAGCTAAGGGGTTAACTTGGCTTCCTTTCATTCCGGACCGCAAGAGCTGTATCCTCCTAACTTATCTAGTGTCTAGAGTGTTTCCTTGGTGCTTGTGTCTTTGCCGAGCATAAATGTCAAAGTTGTCACTCAGATGAACATCCTATAAAGCCATTTCATTACATCAAGCGGCTGCTGTGCCACTTAAATTGTGCAGCCTTACTTTGTTTACAGTCCCAATTATTAATTTATTTTTGTCACACTGATAAATAGTGCTTGTGCTGCTGATCACTGAGTAATATTGATACAGATATAGGAGCTATTCAGCTTTTCTGTGTTACAGCACTGAAACAGTTTTTTTTTCAATGGTGAGCTGTATGTTCTGTGACACCTCTGGACTTAGATAATGGCCACCATTGTTGTCTATCTTATTTGGGACTTGAGCACCTCAGACAGGCCCTTTCAGCTCACTGTCCTAGCTGTTGTATCATAGATTTTGATGTGGATTCGGTGTCTGCATCAGACTCCTTTTTTGATGAACTTCTTGTTGTGACCGATATAGTCATAAGCCAAGGATTATTGCGTTCAAGCAGTTGACAAAGTTTATATCATGATGGTAGGCCAGTATCACCAGCAAATTCATTGTGCGCAAAATTATAAGCAACTTTGGCAAAACTCAATCTTGATGCCCCACCTAGTGCAACTAACCTGGACTCTAACCTGCTTTGCCATGCATCTGGTCACGTTAATTATTTAGCTGCCACCGGCTGAAGAGATAGACAGACATTAACTTGTCTGAAATGCATTTTGGAGTGCCTCCTCCACGCCCATTTCTTAACTTTTTTGCCAGTGTCTAACTATCATTAATACTGATGTGTGTGTCAAGTTTCATGAAACTCTAAACATGTTAAGTGCCTCAAAAACACCAGAAAATCGAGCCGTTTTAGGTAGGCGTGGTTGACTCTTAACTTTTATAAAGAATATCTCTTTGGATTTGAGACTTTAGTCTTTGCAACTTTACAGATCTTCTTTATGCACCAAGAGCTTGAAACACTTCAAAGAGAAAGGAAAAATTGAAATCGCATCATATGACCCCTTTAAAGTTTGATGCGTTGCCATAGCAACAGTCTTTAAGTTATCAGAAATCATCTCACAGTTTTACAAAGGCTGTGTTTTGACATTATTCTGTTGAAGTTTGAAGAAAATCGAGTAAAAATAAGTGGATGATTTCAAAGCATTTTGAAAATGACACTTCCTGCTGCCAGTTGGTGGTGCTATAACTTTGTCACCTAATACTCGCATGTATGTGATCGGCATCATATAACATACAAACTGATGAAGTTTGATCAAAAACAGACAAAGTGTGCAAAAGTTATTAAACACTTCCTGTTTCTCATTTCTCGCCATAATTCGACACCTCGCCACGGCCAAACCGTTCGAGATATCAAAAATTCCTTGCCAATTTTGCATCCCCAATGTCTTGAGATCATGTTGACCGAGTTTGGTGGCAATTGTATGAAAAACCTCTGAGGAGTATCACAAATTTAAGAGCATGCGCTTTTCACACAGCCCTGAATAGCTCACTTCCTGTTGGGTGGAGCCTATGACATGCAGTGCGAAAGTTGTTCGGCACAGTGAGATCTATATGTGTACCGAGTTTCATATGTATACGTGCAAGTATGTGTGAGCTACGCAGCAAGATTTCTGACTGTGTTCCAGGGGGCGCCGTAGAGCCCCTGTGCCACGCCCGGGTCCCAGCCTCTGCGGTGTCCTAATGACCGCAGATTTCAACGTGTGTGCCAATTTTCAAGAGTTTTTGAGCACGTTAAGGCCCCCAAAAAGCCCTGGATAGTCGGAAAAAAAAAATCTTAGAAAAACAATAGGGCCCTGCGCCTTAAATGTCTGTTGAGGAAGTACAGATGTTCCTCTCATTGATAGCAGAGGAGCGGATCCAGCGAGAGCTTGATGGGGCGACGCAGAATGAAAACGTTTTTCAGGAGTCTCGGCAGTAGAGGCGGCGCAACTATAACGACATGTGAATAATCCTGCCCACTCTAAAACGGTACTAAACTGCAGTGGAAAGACAAACCAAGCCGAGCCGAGCCGTGTCGTACTGAGCCGTGCCGAGCCAAGTCGTACCACGCAGTGGAAAAGCGCCACTAGTTCATCTTTGGTACACAAATTAAGATAACACTACATGCGTGGTGATGCGTTCTGACGTACAATGCTCACATATGTGTCGTGAAACTCTCGTGAATGCACGTTGAAGACTGACACCGAAGAGAAGAAGTTGTTGAATAAAGTTATTTTTGTTTTTTATTTGCAAACAAAAAGTATTCTTGTGGCTTCATAAAATTACGGTTGAACCACTGATGTCACATGGATTACTTTAAAGATGTCCTTACTACCTTTCTGGGCCTTGAATGTGTCAGTTGTGTTGCTGTCTATGGAGGGTCAGAAAGCTCTCGAATTTCATCGAAAATATCTTAATTTGTGTTCTGAAGATGAACGAAGGTTTCTTACAGGTTTGGAACGACATGAGGGTGAGAAATTAATGACAGCATTTTCATTTTTGGGTGAACTATCCTTTTAAGCTCAATGCACTGGCTCCCAGTTCACTATAGAATTGATTTTAAAGTCCTTTTACTGGTATTTAAATCTGTGAATGGCCTGGCTCCCTCTTACTATCTTGTTGATCTTTTGTCTGAACATCAGCTCGGGAGATCAAGAAGTTCTACTGATCAGATGCTATTAACCGTCCCTAAAACTCATCTGAAATCTAGAGGTGACTGTGCCTTTGCAGTGGCTGCACTGCACATATTTAGCTTTTAATCATTAGTAGCTTCTATGTTGTTTTATGTTTTGTCATGTTGTATGTTATTTTATAGTTATCGTTTTGAACAGCACTTTGGTTAGCACTTCAAGTTTTAAAAATTTTGCTTTATAAAAATCAATTTGTCATTGTCGTTTTTCGACAAGCAACACTTTTGCACAGAATACACGTGTATCCTCACTTACAGATAGTCTGAAAGCTTCCTCACTACTCGTTCCTTACTTCCTTATGGTGCAATTAGAGATTTGATATGTCCTTCAAGACGGCTAACTTTAATTGATACCTGGGTCAATGGCAAGAGGACGGAGGTGCAAGGAAACATCAGTTTGAGTATTGAAAAGCACCCTAGGCGTACAGCGTTTTGTACATACACATCCAAGTGTGTATGATATATGGAACAATTTTTTGACTGCTTTCAGGGGGTGATGTAGAAACCTAATTGCAGAAAACTGTGTGCAAAGTTTCAAAATCCTGATGAAAATTTTTTTTTGAGGAATGTTTAGGAAAACAATAACATACCTGTGGTAAATGTCTTCAGTGTTTTCAGCATGACATGTTTAGATAAGTGGAGCATCAAGTTGTACACATCCAAGTGTGTATGATATATGGAACAATTTTTTGACTGCTTTCAGGGGGTGATGTAGAAACCTAATTGCAGAAAACTGTGTGCAAAGTTTCAAAATCCTGATGAGTTTTTTTTTTTTTTTTTTTTGAGGAATGTTTAGGAAAACAATAACATACCTGTGGTAAATGTCTTCAGTGTTTTCAGCATGACATGTTTAGATAAGTGGAGCATCAAGTTGATAAATCTTGGTCCAAAAGCAGAGAGTAAATGTGATGCAGCCACCTTAGGAAAAGCATTACCTTCTTCGTTCTAAATATATTTTTTTTAAAAACACAGAACAATAAAACATAATAATCATTAAAAAGGCACACTAAATACATTAAAAAACTTTTTTTTTTTAAATATATACCTATCTAAACATTTTCTGGCAATGCAACAGGCACAGTAGTAACAAGAAAATATATATTAAACATCAAATGAACATACCGCTATCTCTTGGAGCCATGAAAAAGCCACCTTTCGAAACTCAGCATCACCTTTACGATCCCAAATTGGCCAGCAATGTCTATGAAAACAATAAGATTTTCAAATCCACAATTCAAATCACAACAAGTGAGGATGACAAAACTGAAAAAAAAAGTCATGTATTGTACTACCTGAAGACAACTTGGGCACGTGCAGGATTCAGTTTATTAAATAAAAAGTGGATGACAATGTAGAATGCCTCTTTGTTTGGCTTATCAAACATGTTCCTGTCAAACAAACAAACAAAAATAACTAACTAAAATTACTATTATTATGTATTATATATATATACATATATATATATATACATACATATGTGGCGTGACAGTGGTGTAGCTTGTCAGACATAGCAACAGTAAAGAAAGGGGTCAGTTAAAGGTACAAGTATCTGGCGATATACACACGAGTGAAAGTACAATAAGTGATTGGAAGCAACCTAACAAAAATAAGAGAGAGGATATTCTTGTTTCATTTTAAATTATCTTAATTACTTTCTTTCTTCAGATGAACACAAAGATTTTTTTAGGGAAAAAAAATCCATCTGTCTGCATATAACGCAAGTGTACAGGATGTCTAAAGATGACGCTTCAAAAACTACACAAAGTGAATGGTGTATAATCCATACAAAACAAGTTGATGAATCAATGTCACCAAGTGAAACAATAAGCTTGTTTTAAAAAAAAATACAAAAACTTTACTTTCATGCTTACTTTGTTTGTGGTTTTGAAGCCGTCCTGTATACGTGCATTATATGGACTAAAAACTTTTGTTTGTGTTCATCTTAAGTCATATACATCTGGGACAGTATGAGGGCGATGATTGAGAGCAACCCTCTACATTGCGAGTAAATCACTCGCATATGCGACTAAATCTTACTCTGGGCGACTAAATGATGTCTAATATTAGCCAATTGCTAATAAATTCTCAGATTTTACTCGCCAGTGTGTGAGTTGTAGGTTAAGTATACGTGTAGCACAGTTATATTTTCACTCGCCGAACACTCTGACTGAGCGCTTCAGAGTTTCACTCTCCGTCAAGCGATCTGTGATATTTCTCAGTTCATCTGAATGGATGTGCAACGCACAACGTACCGTAAACTCTAGTGTGAAGGCGCACGACTCCCCGTCGCTTTGTTTCACACACACGCAGAGAGAGAGAGAGAGAGAGAGAGA